TGTTCATCACTTCCTTGTCTGGCCATTAATGAGTTCACCAAAAACTTTTCAGCTGCATTATGCGCGCCGTTTCTGACAATCATGAGTAAGGGTCTTCATAAGGCCACCTGGGGAGGTAAGTACAGCATTTGCATTGGAACATGGTGATCCTGCATATAATCAGAGGTTTAGGTTTATATCTTTGTGTATAGTTCAGAACAAATTAAACATGGATACCCATCTGACCTGCTTGCACTATATTACTAGCAGGATTCCTTGGAGCTGATATATAAATGTGGCTGCTGTCAAAGCCACTCATCTGATCTAACTTCATTTTATACTCCAAGTGTTCCATTAACTGTTCAGTGTTAGTGGCTGTATTTGAGTTAATTAGCATTTTTATTATTCACATTCTTTGTTTGACGTAAAAATACTTTTGTGTTTTAGAGGGAAAAATGGGCTGACTGATTTACTAAGTAATTGAATGATTTATTGATTAAATGTTTAACTACACAGGCTGGTCTAAAGCGTGCCTGCAGGACTGGGGCTCATACATCCACTTGGCCATCCCCAGCATGGTCATGTTGTGTGTTGAGTGGTGGGCATATGAGTCAGTAGGTTTTCTGGCAGGTAACATCACCGGTCCCTTTGTACTTGTAGTTTTTAAAGCATTGTGTGAATTAAAGTCGGTCTGAAATCGAACTACTGTTTGTCTTTGACAGGTCTAATAAGTGAGGTGGAACTTGGAGCTCAATCAGTTGTATACGAACTAGCAAATGTTGCATATATGGTAAATTCTCACATGAAATTACTACAACTAAATACTGAATATAATATAAATCAAATTGTTATTGTGTTAAATTATCTGTTTTAAATGCAGTGTAACAGTAATGCTTATATTTTTGTCTTTAGTTCCCAATAGGTTTCAGTGTAGCAGCCAGCATAAAAGTTGGAAATACCTTGGGAGCTGGAGAAACAGATCAGTCCAAGCTGTCTGCTAAAGTGGCAATGTGCTCTGCAGGTTAGTGTGCTCTGAAACAGTTTCTATGCTATATACTACTATCTTGTCAATCATGGATATACAGTATTCTTTGGTATCCTCAGGTTTATTTCTTTTGCTTGCATTGGAACAACACAGAAAAAGAACTCCAAAAATGGACTGGACATAATTATTGGCACTTTTCAAATTCATCAGAAATAGTTGTATTCCAAGCAGGTGATGCTCTTCTAGTTTGTAATGAAACTCACCTGTAGCAACCAACAGGTGCTAGTGATATAGAAATCACACTGGGAACCAGTTGAAATGGAGAAAAGTTCATTCAACCTTTGTGTCCTGTGGAGCACACTGAGCATAGAGAGAAGAAAGAAGAGCAAAGAATTGTCTGAGGATGTGAGAAGCACAATAGTGGAAAAGCCTGGACAGTCTCAAGGCTCCAAGTCCATCTCCAGAGATCTAGCTGTTCCTTTGTCCACTGTGAACAACACTGTCAGAAGTTTACAGCTGGAGCTAATCTCCCTGGACATGGACGAAAGAGAAGAATAGATGACAGGTTGCAACGAAGGATTGTTTGAATGGTGGATAAAGTAAGCTGACCTGCAGGCACAGGGTGCAACAGTGTCAGCTCACACTATCCGTCGCCATCAGAATGACAAGGGATGCTATGGTAGGAAACCCAGGGGACCCACTGCTGACACAGAGACATAAAAAAACCCAGATTGGAGTCTGACCAAACTTACCTGAGGAAGCCACAGTCCTTCTGGGAGAATGTCCTGTGGACAGATGAAACTAAAATAGAGCTTTTTGGTTGGGCACATCATTCTACTGTTTTCAGACAACAAAATGAGGCCTTCAAAGAAATGAACACGTTCTTACAGTCAAACATGGTGGAGGTTCACTGATGTTTTGGGATTGATTTGCTGCTTCAGCCACTGGATGGCATTATGAAATCTGAAGACCACCAATGAATTCCGGGGCCCAAGGTAGGGCCCAGTGTCAGAAAGCTGGGTCTCTGTCAGAGGTCATGGGTCTTACAGCAGGACAATGACCCAGAGCAGACTTCAGAAAGGACCAGAAATGGTTTCAGACAATGAGCTG